TTCAAAATATCCGCGTAGATGGGTTTATTCATATTGCTCTGGTGTTTCGATTTTCACAGGATTTAACCCGTTTTAGTTTGAATAAAGGTAAGGATAGTTTCTACCGATCCCACTTTAGGTAATTTTTTATTAGCCAAGAAACGTTCCAAGCGCCTGTGGTCTGTGGAGTAGACACGAATGATAATACTAGTATCAACCAATAGGTGATATGAGACAATAACTTTTTATTACATGACCAACTCAGATAGTCAAGAAAACAAAGAAATCACAGAGCTACTCTTATGAATCTGATTATCATATTCTAATAAGGCATGACGTCTGAGCGATTAAGTGGAGACAGCATTTGCAGTTAGGGTCACTGAAGTTTGTAAATGACTGACAGAAATAATATCATTCTCAAAGACGGAGCTACATGTACATCACAATCCCCCAAACGTTGCCGGAACAAATCACAAACAGGAACAACTCAGTTTTTCCCCAAGCTAACGAACAAATCTATTGTCTTCTACTGACTCCCTGTTCCGGCCCATTTTTGAGAGTGTATCAGACAGTGCCTGGTAAGAAAGCACAGTCAAGCAGTTTATAGATTTACTAAAAATAGAACCACTCAACCATGGAATGTCAAAGTCGAGTTGGACGAAATTCAAGATTGGCACCACACACGATTCGTGTTTTACCGCTAATCAAAATGACTTAAAACACTGTTCAAGTTGCCAGAAATAGATTGCATTATGAATAAACTACATTCTGATAATATTTTATCATGAATAAACTGTTGTGGCTTAGTATAATTTATGAAACAAAATGGTGGTGCATAATTGAATGGAAGTGCACCGTTTTCAAACTCTTAAGGTTATATTGATATCTTTACTCTGACCACTCGCACTGCTCTCGCTATTACTAACATTCTGCTGATTTATTGTCATTGTACTATATGCAAGTGATTGTTGTTATTTATTCTGAAATTATGTTACATACCCATTTCCATTATATTTTGGATTCTATCGACATAGCATTACCATGCAGCATTGGGTCAAAAGACGCATGTCAGATCGGTGTTTTTTCTGTGAACAAAAATATTTGCTCATGATAAAACTAAGTCAAATTATTACATATCAAACCAAAGAAGTAACATATTTTTCATGGCATCTCAATGAAATAATAAGCAATATTACCGAGTAAGTGTAACCTCGTCATGATGTCATAACTTTGATGATCGTTTACAAAAATATATTCGTTCATTAAAAAGAAAATTGTGGACACTGATGGAACGAATAATAAATGATAAAAATCTGTCAAATAATTATGTGGTCCATTTTTTGAAAGGGAGTATTTTTGCAGTAAATAAGATTGCAAAGTGAATGAATATATAACTCTGTGCATATACCAGGTTATATGTAATGAGTTAGCATAGTTAAGTGGTTTATCTATTTACAATAAATAAAACAAATGAATCATAAAATGTTGTACCGGTAATGCATAAAATTATTTAGTCAATGATGCGCAAGTTGAATTTTTTCAAGATCTTGTTGTGAACTTTTTGGAGCTAAGATTA